TTTTATTTTTGTTTCTACCCAAATAAATGAGGGGTCATGGGGTAAAACAGTAATTTTTCTGCTGAGTGTGTCTGTGGTTTCTAGCGCTGTCTAGGGTGTGTCTGTGGAGGAACTTTGTTGCCTAACAGCACGCCTCATATAACAGAAATAGAGACATGGCACCTTATGTCCTCAGGAAGACATCTTGGCCCTCCTGTGGATGGAGGGCATCTTGAAGAGAGACCAGGTGTTTCCACATTTGCAGAGACTGACTTCTCTCAGTTGCTCTTGGATGATACTTCTCTCGGGTAGCCCAGAATGCAGTTGCAAACTCAGCAAGTTAAGCAAACAGTATTACAGGTCTTGTTGAAACTGAAGTGGTCCCCATGGGCTGGGAGAGTGGGTCGCAGGTGGGAAAGAAAATTTGTTTCTGAGTTGAGACAGATTGCTCCAATTTTGAGGGCACTAATGGGACATCGTCTAAGGGCCAGGTGGTACCCAAGGTGGACCTCTCAGAGTTAGGTTGCCAAATTCCCCAGTGTGGTTGTCAGCCTTTTGAGGCCAGAGGAGAATTCTCCCACTGGGTGCTGAGGGACAGTGAGCGTCCCAGGGAGAGGGATGATGGAAAGCCCACCAGACCCTATCGGCATGCCAAATGCAGTGGATTATAAGGAATGATTGCGCTTCCCAGTAACCAAAAGCATGTATTCTCCATCTTTCTTGATGGCAACATCCCTGGGAAGTTGTCTTCTCCTTCAGATGGTCATTTAATGAGCATAGAATCAGCCTAAAGTGAATAGGATTATTTGGAAGGGACCCAGCATTTCCCGGAGCACTAGGGCAGCCGCAGAATGTGGCCGTCCCTCTGCAGTGGCCTTTTTCCCTAAGGCTTGGTCCACCCACCCAGTTCCTGCTGGGGCCGGCCCATAGCATTTGCCTCTGGGAATTCTGGTGCCCTTGGCTGGTGGGTCCCTGTCTGTTCACCATCTTTCGTTAGAGATACTGATGTCACAGAACAGCTGTCGTCAAAGGCTGAACCACCCAGGCTGCACCTGTCAACCATGAGCAGACTGATTCTGTGAAACTCTGCATTCTGGAGGGTAGAACTTTCCTTTCTGCCTAAATCATTTGTCTGCAGATCCTCTTTTTGCGGTTTTTCCATTACCTCCCTATGTTCTCTGTTCTTAGAGGCAGGACTGATCTGTACTTTTCCCCCAGTTTTATTGAGACATAATTGACATATGACATTGTGTAAGTTTAAGGTGTACAACATAGTGATTTTATTTTTATTTTTTAAATTTTAATTCAATTTATTTAAAAATTTAAATAGTTCATCCATTTCTCCCACTCCTTAACCCCACCTCTTGCAACCACGTCTGTTCTCTGAATCTATGAGCTTCATTTTTGTTGTTGTTGTTGTTGTTGTTGTTTAAATTCCACATATAAGAGAGATGGTATGGTGTTTGTATTTCTCTGCTTGACATATTCCACTTCGCACAATGCCCTCGAGGTCTATCTATGGTGTCACAAATGATAGGATTTCATTCTTTTTCATGATTGCGTAGTATTCCACTGTGTATATTTACCACAATTTCTTTATCCATTCATTCATCAATGGACATTTAGGTTGTTTCCATATCTGGGCTATTGTAAATTCTGCAATGAACATGTATATATGTGTGTGTGTATTCTTGAATTATTGTTTTAAAAAATTTTCAGATAAGTAGCCAGAAGTGGAATCACCATATCATATGGTAGCTCTAGTTTTAATTTTTTGAGGAACTTCTATACTGTTTTCCAAAGAGGTTGCACCAATTTACATTCCCACCACCAACGCACAAGGGTTCCCTTTTCTCCACATCCTTGCCAACACCTTGTCTTTTGATAACTTCTTGTATTTTTGATAATACCTGTTCTAATAGGTGTAAGATGATATTTGTGGGTTTTGTTTGCATTTCCCTGGTGATTAATGATGTTAAAGCGTCTTTTCATGTACCTGTTGGCTATCTGTTTGTCTTCTTTAGAATTGTGTCTATTAAGATCTTCTGCCCATTTTAAAATTAGATTGTTTAGGTTTTGCTTGTTTGTTTTGCTTGCTATTGAGTTGTATGAGTTTTCTCTGTATTTTGGATATTAGCCCCTTATCAGATGTATAATTTGCAGTTACTTTCTCCTAGTCAGTAGGTTGACTTTTCATTTTGTTAATGGTTCCCTTTGCTGTGCAGAAGCTTTTTAGTTTGATGTCATCCACTTGTTTATTTTTGTTTTTGTTGCTTTTTGTTGTCAGATTCAAAAAATCATTGCCAGGGTCTTCACATAGTCATACTGCTTGTTGTTTTCTTCTGGGAGTTTTATGGTTTCAGGTCATACATCCATTTTGAGTTAATTTTTGCACATGGTATAAGATAGTGGTCCAATTTCGTTATTTTGCATGTAGCTGTCCAGTTTCCCTAACACCATTTATTGAAGAGACAAAAATACACAATGGTGTACTTCTTTTGTTAATTGGCCACATATATGTCAGTTTATTTCTGGGCTCTCTATTCTGATGCATTGATCTATGTGTCTGTTTTTATGCCAATTCAATAGTGTTTTAACTACTATCACTTTGTAATATAGTTTAAAGTCAGGGAGCGTGATGCCTCTAGCTTTGTCTCTCTTTTCCAAGATTGTTTTGGCTATGTGAGGGTCTTTTGTGGTTCCATACAAATTCTAGGAGTTTGTTTTGTTTCATGAAAAGGAACTTTGGTAGGGATTACTTTGAATCTATGTATTGCCTAGATAGTGTAGACATTTTAACAATATTAATTCTTCCAATATATGAGCATGGAATAGCTTTCCATTTATTTGTGCCTTTCTCAATTTCTTTCATCAGCATCTTGTCATTTTCAATACACAGGTCTATATCCTGCTTGGCAAATTTATTCCTAAGTATTGTATTCTTTTTGATGCAGCTATTCATGGAATTGTTTTCTTAATTTCTCTTCCAGATGGCTTATTATTTTGTAAAGAATCACAACAGATTTTTGTGTATTGATTTTGTATCCTGCAACTTTACTGAATTTATTAGTTCTAACAGGTTTTTGATGGAGTCTTTAGGGTTTTCTGCATATAATTTTATATGTGAATAAAATGATTATCACAGTAAGGTTAGTTATCACATCCATCACTTTGCATAGTTACAATATTTTACGTGTGGTGAGAACTTTTAAAATCTACTCTCTTAGCAACTTTCAAATATACAACACATATTGTTAACTATAGTCACCATAGGGATTGGTCTATATTTTTATCAAGAAGAGGAAAGAATCAGTAGACTGAGAGTCAAAGGATCTCCCTCTTTCATGAACTCACTGTGTGATCTCAGGCCAGCCTCTGACCCTCTCTGGGCCTCCTTTCCCTTACCTGCAAAGCACGGGTTTGGATCCAGCTATCTCTGATCACCCATAATTCTGTGATTGTGGGACCGAAAAAGCAAGACAGCAAGGGCAAGACAGTGTGAGTTTCCTCACTAGGAAAGGTTCAACCTAATAAAAACAAAAAAGGATCAGAAGAGTTGGCACATTTACTTGAGCTTGCTTTGCTTTGCTGTGAGCTTTGTAGAGGTAATCTTACTAAATCCTCATAATAATCCTAGGATGTGAGCACTATTTTTATTCTTCTTCTCCAGATGAGGAAACTGAGCCTCAGAGGTGTCAAAACACCTTGCCCAAAGTCACAGGGTTAGTATGTTGGGACTCAGTCAAAGCTCTCTCTCTGCCTTTGGAGTTTCCTTCTGCTTTTGGGAAGCCCAGAGCCCAGAAGCCGTGGTGGGTGTGATCCAGCTGTGCCCTTAATACCAACTGTCCTTTTCAAATGTGCTTTCCTTTATTTAGATAACAACATCATTTCTAAGGGTTTTCAGTGAACTTCCTTATTTTCTCCCTATTCTGTGTTATTCAGCAAAATGAATGAATGAACATTTCTTAGGATACAAATCTAATTTTATTCTAGAAAGGAAAGTGTTTGTCTCTCTTCTTTGTTTCTCAAGCCAAAACATTTTTTTCCTCTTTTCTTGGAAGTCCAGAAAGAAGCTAAAAGTTTAATTAAAAACTTTATGATTCAACAGTTGGAACAAGAATCAGGGTAATAGTGCAGCAAACTGTGAACCCCCTGAGAACGCCCTCCTCCATTGGCTGTTTGAGGGGATTCCCTCTCCACACCCTGCTCCCAGTGCCTTTCAATATTCTCAGGCTTTTCTCTTAAGGCCTTAAGGCTCAAGTCAGTATCTCAAGACCGTTAAAGACTCAGGTCAGATGTCATTGCCCTTGTGTTACCAGTTAATGCCAAGTATGCTTTTTTGAAAACTTCTAAGTTTTGCATTTAAATGTTAAGCACTGCTTGAGCATTGAGGGCAGAGGCCTGTTCTCACTCACTCTGGAGCAGCTCTGGATCTGCGCTCCCATGTTGCATATAACATACACATAGTTTCACATGTATGTGTCAAAAGCTAAAAAGTGCCCGTGCCCTTTGACCCAGCTATCTTCATGGCAAGGAATTTATCCAAAGGAAATAATTGAAGAGGAGAAAGGAAATGACACAGAAAAAAAATTGCTGTTAAAATATGTATTTGCTAAATATTGGAAACAAGTGGAATGTCTGTTAACAAGGTAATGGAGAGTAAATTACAGGACATGATCTCGATGGAACATGATTCATTCTCTCACTGGGTAAACAAACATACTGACTGCCAAGGAGTGAGAAATGTAGCGATGAGTCAGATGCCTTCGATGAGTACACAACCTGGCAGAGATCATTACAAAACTTGGAGAAACAGAGTTATTTGTGGCCTCATGTTAAGAGGGAAAAAAGTAGATGATATAACTGTATATTATGATTGCAACTCGAAACACATGATGGTGTGAACCATGTCTGGTGGGCACATGAAAATATTGTGTGGTTAGATCACAGATGACGTATTCTTTAGCATCATTGCAATTGTTTCTCAAGCTTTAAAGTTTTAGACCATTCTAAATGTTTACTGAGAAAAGGAAGCTGCTCCCAGGACCCTGGTTCTCCAGGCTGGCAGTGGCATGAATGATGGAGGTTCTCTCCAGATGGACAGGGGTTGTCACCAGGCGATTGGGAGGAGATATCCAGGCAGTCTGGGAGGGCTGGGTCAGGGAGGACTGTCAGTCTGTGCATCTAGGAGCATCCACTGAGAGCCACCGTAGGAACCAGCCTCCTCTGTTTCTGGGCTACATCATGCAGCAGAGCCCGAGCGGCTCCTCCAAGCTCTGTCAACAGCACCGCTGAAGCACGGTGCCACGTGGGGGAAGAGCTGAAGTCTGGGAACCAGACGAGAGGGTTGGAATCTGCGAGAGTTGGAGGCTGGGTCCTCATGCTGGAAGGGGTGCTTCCTATGTGAACAGTGCTCTTATCTCCATTCTACAGGTGAGGACCCTGAAGCTCAGTTGGCCCCAAATTACCCAAGGGGCAAGTGATAGAGTTGGGATTGGAAACCATGCCTTCTCAGTTTGGGCCAGTGTTTCTCCTGTTTATCTCCCTGGGCCCGGGGGCAGGTGGCAATGCGTGAGGCCGAGTGGAAGAGACCTGGCTGACAGGGCGGCTGGAGTCCTTTAGGAAGGAGAGGCACTGGGGAATCTGTTGGTGGGACCTCATGATGGAGGCTCTCAGAGGCCAGGTATTTGAATGTGGACTTGATGCAGTGGGTACTAGGAAACCATTGTAGGTTTAGGGACCTGACAGAAGGGGATTTAATGAAGAAGAGGCTGACAGTGTGTGCTGGCTGGTATGATCGCAGGGAGGCTGGACCAGACAAATGGTAAAGTTGGTGGACAACTCTTGTTCTGTCTGATCAACAGCACCCACTCTGCTAGCTTCTTGGAAATACATCTTCCTGTACCTCTAACCATAAGTTTGAACAGAAGCTGCTATCTTATTTATCCCTGCCCTGTGGGTACCGCTGCCTGGTCCAGGGATGAGCATTTGATAAAAACTTTGCCAATCACAGCCCTTCCCTGGGAATTTTGACCTTGGGACCAGAGGGGACTGGGTCTCACTCCCTCTCTGATGGACAAAGCTGTGATATATGAGTCTGGGAGCTCTGTCCCCACTCATATTTGAGAGTCAGAGAGAGGAAATTCTAGCTAGATTCCAGCTCTAGTTTTCACTCACTCTGAGGACTTGCCACCCCCTTACCCTCACCACAAGGTGAACGATACCGCCTCCTTTCGGGTTAAATTAGTCTGAGTTGAATTTTTGTCATTTGTAAACCAAAAATCCAGATATTTACAGTAAGAGATATGCCTATCGTTCAAATTTTGAGCACAGTCCTCTTGTTTTGGGGACATTGGGCCTGTCATTTCTTGCATGTAAGAAATTTAAAAAATCTGTCCTCATTGTTCAGTGTCAGACGTAGGAACTCCCGGCTTGCTGGAAGGACAGGGCTTCGGGGATCCCTTCAAAGAATGATGGATGCATCTCCATCACTGGTGTAATGAGTAAAGTTGCTGCTGAGAACGCTTTCCCTCCTGCTCCTCTGGGCTTCAGACAGGGAGGGGGAGAAAGTGACGTGACCGGGACGGCAGCACAGGACAGCCAGGCATTTCCGATACAGGTAGTACGGGTATCTTCTGAACTTCTCTCCAGCGAATGCATAGATAAGAGGATTGAGGCAACAGTGGGTGAATGCAATTGTCTCAGTCATACTGAGGGCCAACCTCAGATCCCTCTTTATGGCACAGGAGGGAAAGAAGTCAAAGAGGTTGAGCGTCTCTAAGAAGATCATGACGTTGTAGGGTGTCCAGAAAAGGAAAAACACGATGACCACCAGAAGGATTAGCTTCACGGCTTTCATTTTCTTGTGGTTCTTGCATGAGAACAGTGTCTGGATGATTCTGAAGTAACAGTAACTCATGATGAGCAGGGGGAGCAGGAAGCCGAGAACATTTGTTTCCAGATTACAGAGCACGGGCCAGATATCCTGCAGGACCTCAGGGTAGTCACTGAAGCACTCGTTTTCTGTTCGTTTGGTGAACATGAACTGGGGTGTGGCCACCAGGATGGCTGCTGCCCAGACGCCGAGGCTGATGATGACGCCATGCTGCACGGTCCGGTTGTTCATGGAGTTGGCGGCCAGGACGATGGCCAGGTACCTGTCGATGCTGATGATGGTGATGAAGAATATGCCTCCAAAAAACCCGACAAAGAAGAAGGCAGTGGTGAGTTTGCACGTGCTGTTGTGAAGGCCTTGCTCATTTATCAGATAGTGAGTCCAGAAGGGCAAAGTGGCTACAAAGAGCAGGTCAGACAAGGCCAGGTTCAGGAGGTAAATGTCGGTGATGCTCTTACGCTTCCGGCTGTTGGTGAGGGCAAACACCACCAGCAGGTTTCCCACCAGGCCACAGGCAAAGACAACGGAGTAGAGCACGGCCAGGAAGACTTTTCCAAAGGCCACGATGTCCCCCATATCACAGGCTTCAGCAAAGTCATCATACGTCAAGGTTTCGAAACTTGATTCAGGGAAGCTGGTAGGCATGGTGAGCACCTGGGTCAGGAAGGAAGACAAATAACGCATTAGTTCTCCAAGAAACAAAGTGGGAAGTCTGCCCTTTACATAGGCCGACGGCAAGAAGCACACGTTGGTTGGATGTCTGACCAGTACATTTCCCAGTGTCACGCCTGCCATCTTGTTTAATCCCCACAACAGTCTCTCTGATGGAGGCTGTGACAGACCCCTCTGATGGACAGGAAGCCAGTCTCTGAGAGGCTCAGTGACTTGTCAGAAACTATGCAGTAAATGGCTCAGTTAGTGTTCAAATCTAAGCCTTTTGAGGCTTGAGATAGGTTTTTTTTTTCCTTTTATTTTCTAAAGTCTATCTGAAAGGTAGCTAACTTGGCTAGGGTGGGGAGAGAGGACCTCGGGTGGGAAGGAGAGGGAAGGGGTGGGGCAGAGCCACCGTAATTCGCACTTCCAGGCCAAACTTCCCCAAAGCAGTTTTACACACCCTGCCTTTACTCCCTCCTCTCCACCCTCTGGTCCCTAATTTCTCCTGCATGAAGCTAAGACTGAAGAGAGAGGTCTCAGACACTACAGAGCCCTGGGCACCCAGAAGCCTCGTCTTTGTTTTTGAGAGCCATTTCTCTTCCTCTTCCTCTTGGAATCAACTTAAGTCTTTCTCTTCTTTAAGGGATAAGACATAGAGTCAGGCACTCTAGGGTGACTGCCTTGCCTTGCTTTGCCCAGGACTTTTCTGGTTTTAGCACTGAAAGTCTCACATGTTGGAAACCCCTCAGCTGTAAACCAACCCGGATGGTCAGTCATTCTTCAAGTCCACGTGCAGAGGACGTGTCTCCATCATCCGGGCTTCTGCAGTCACGAAAGGGTGGATGGATCCCAGATGGAAGACTGTGATCAGCTAGCCTGCTTTAACCTGATAATTATCAGCCCTGCACGTCACTGTGGATTGGCCTCCCCCACTGTTCTTTTCTTATTTCCTTCTGGACAAAAATGGAAAGTCAAGACTATTCTGCACAGGTTGGGAAGTGACTTTTGTCCATGCCGTCTTCTTCCAGCCAGGACTCAGTCCCTCCTCACTCCAGAGGCTGCAAAGGCAGCTCTTTCACCCTGCTTCCCTGGCACCCGTCCCACCCCCACACTCCTTGTGATACCACAAGACGGGCCCTCAGAAACCTCAGAGCACACCTCCTGGTTGTCACTGCCCCACACCCAGCACAACGAAAACCAAAGCTCATGCTTCTTTAACCAAGGGAGTTTCCACACCCGGCTACATCCTTTTCGTGCTGTTTGCATTGAGATGGTGTCTCTGCCGAGCCGAGGGCCCACCCAGCCAGGATTTTGCTGCTCCTTTCCCAGCCTCCGTCTGGGGTCCTGACCCACCTCTGCCTCTTACCCAGACTCTTCCAGGTGAAGTGGATCAAGCCTTTTTGACCTGGGCTGTCTCAGGCTGGGATGGAGTTCTCAATCCCAGGGAAGCATGTGCTTTCTTTGTTTTTGGCTGCAAAGGCCCTTATCTTGGAGAGGAGCCTCTGGCTATGACCTTGATCCATGACGGTTAGGTTGAACCATATAAAATGGCTGATAGGCAACCATTTTCAAGTGACACAAATGTCAGTTTCAAATGGCTCAGCTGAGATGTGGGGAGGCAAGGAGGCTTGGTGCTAGTGGCTTATTGCTGAAGCCCTCTTCCCTGGCAGGCAGCTGTGAAGGAAGGTGAACAGTCAAGCCCCTGTGGTCCTAAGTTAGGGCCCCTGGGGCTGGCATCCTTCCCTCCGCACGCCCTCCCTCATGAACTGAGCTGGTAGAGCTGACCTGGAGGGGAGGCCAAGATCTCCTTCTTTTGCATCTCTTTGGATCTGTGTTCTGTCTGGGGTCTTTGTGCTTTTGGGTGGGCTGATTTTGCCAAATCTGCATGACATGGCTTTGATTCCCATTTCTACTCTCGGCACAGTGCCTTACACACAGGGACCTCCTACAAACCTTTGGGCAGGTGTCCCTGGATCATGGAGGGGGAAGAGCAGGGAGGTGGGCAGGAAGAGGATGGGCTGCAGGCTCAGGCCCTCTTGAGATTGCAAACCACATCTGCCCTCCTGGCCCAGTGACCTTGGGTGAACTTGGAGCCTCTGAGCCTGACATTCCTCATGTGTAAGATCGGGATCCATTCTCATACCTTCTATCAGCACTGTTCTGAGGGGAGCACCTGGTACAGTGCATTGCACAGAGCAGGTGCTTAATAAATGCATCAGATGAGGACACAGAAGCACGTTGGGCCTCAGGAATCATCCAGGCTGCCTGTGGACCCTCATGTTTCACTCCCACTCTAGGCATTGTGGGAGTTTGGTCTATCAAGGTTTTTTTCCCTGGAATAAAAATATTTTCTTTTTCTTTTATTTTCTTTTTAAATGGAGGTACTGGGGATTGAACCCCAATGCATGCTAAGCATGCGCTCTACCACTGAGCTATACCCACCAACCCCAAAATGTTTTGTTTTTAGATTTTTTTTTGAAGACAAAAATGGGAAGTAGGCCAACTTTTACTGAGCTTTTGTTAAGCTGTCAGGCTCATTACTAAACATTCCATGTTATTATTTATTTAATCTCTGCAATTCTGAAAGGAGAGTCCTGTGTTTAATTCACTGTCCTAGTGAAGGGCTCCGGGGATATGCATGACGGGCAGACAGGGAAGGTTGGGACAAGAGTGCAGAGAAGGCCAGGATGTCCCAGGATATCAGGATGCGAGTTCCGGGGGAAGGGAGACAGTTTTCACTGCAAACCTGTGGATTTTTTTTTGTCATGTACACATATTACCTATTTTAGAAAAGGTTTTCATGAATTGACTTGAAATTTAAGACGTATTACATTTCTATAATATGAGTTATACAAAAAATCAAAATAAATAAGCAAATAGCCTAAAATAGTAACTGGCAGCAAGTTGTGCACATTCAATAAATGGTAGCCAGCACATAAGAGGATTACAGTCTTTGCTTTATGGGCAAGTGGAGCTACTCAGAGAGAGTAAGGAACTGGCTCCAGGCCACACAGCTGGCACATGGCAGGGCTCAGCTCAGGCCCAGATGTGGACAGTGTTGGCAGTTTTTTCCAACTTTGTATTATAGCTGTTCCCCCTTTGCAGGTCTCATATATACGGGAGGAAGTATGGGTGTCTAACACAGGTCCCATCAACTGAGGCTGCACCGCACACCTGCCCCCCAGCTGTCCTCAGGCCTCCCCACCCTCTGTTCTGATAAGCCAGCGTTTCACTAAATGGTGCTGAGCTGAGAGGGTCTGAGCTGAACCTTGAAGCTCAGCTTTGGGTGCATGTGCGTCTTAAACCCAAGTAGAAATGAATTTTGTCGACCCCCGCTTTTAAAAAAAAAACACCCGGTTGCCTGTCCTGCCGACCCTGTTCCACTTCCTCTGGCCACTTCCTTTTCTCAGGACTGCTCACTTATTTTTTATTTTTTATTTTTTTTGTCATCATTACCCACTGTTTCCAAGCAGCTTCCCTTTTCTACACTTCCCCTCTCACTAGGTGGCCCCCATCCACTTTCTTCTCCCCAACATCATTTTCATGTTGCTTCCCCCCCAGAAGAGGGGCTTCCTCTAAAAAAGGAGTCAAAAGGGCTTCACATCCTGCTTTCTGTTTTCTAAATTTGGTGTGTCTTCTTTTGTTTGTTTTCTTACCTTCCTTGATCTCTTTTTATGGCTTTTTTAGGTCCTTGATTACAGACCAGGTTTGAGGTTCAGTCTTTTGCCAAGAATATTGTAAGGCTTAATTTTTTTTCCCCTTTGGACCAAACGAGACTCGGGAATTTCTTGAGCCCAGATCCCAACTTTCCCCATGGGGGAGCCACTGTGCTCTTGCGGTTCCAGAACCTGAGGTCCTCCTTGGACAGCCCTGTTTAGAAGGAGAGGGGCTCCCGTTCCCCAGTACCTGCTAAGTGTCATGCTCCACACACAAGATCCCATTTAATTTTTGCCACACCTCACAAGGGAAGTGACTACCTCCCTTGCAAAATAACCAACAGCGGCACGGAGAGATTTGGGTGACTTGTCCAAGGGAGCCACAGAGCCAGGATTTCAATCCAGATACATCTCTCCACAAAGCCATGCAACCTACCCCGTGCCGTGCTTTTCCTCTTGGAGGGGAATCCCTCAGGTTACTGTAGGCCACTGCTCTAGAATGAGAGTGGGAAAAAGTAGAGGTGACCCCTCTGAAAAGGATAAGATTCATGATGTGACCCTGGACCCTCTTCCCGGGCTTCTCCTTCTAGACTCAGAACCCAGTAGGCTGACCCTCCGTGAAACAGCAGGCAGGAGATGGGGCCGGGAGAGCAGATTGCTATTTGCCTCTCCAGCCACGACTAGGTGGTCCTCACTGCCAGATGCCCAGAATCTAGCTCTCATCAGAGAGCTGTTTTCTCTGGAGAAGAAAAAGCTGAAGGCTAATGGGTCAGCTTATCACCTGCCTTCAAGTATCCAGTGATGCGCTTCAGAGCCGTGTCCTTCATGACGGTCCACACCCGCCGAGGACGGCTGGCAGGACCTGGGCACCTCACTCCCATCTCTGCCTCAGCTTCTTGATGTGTGTCATGAAAACCCTGGACCAGACCATCTCTAAGGGTCTGGCCAGGTCTGGATGCTCAGTTGTTTTTTTTTTTTTTGACAAGGACCAAACAGAAGGAAGCAGTCTTAAAGAGCAGCGTGAGTCCTGGGTCAGGGAGTGTGGCCTCGTGTCCACAGACTCGCTGCCCAGCAGCCTGCCCGGGAAACATGAAACTTCTGGGCTCACGGGTGGCCAGCATTCAGTGAGGTTCTGTTTGGAGCCAGAGAGCCAGTAGGTGATTTTGCATCCTGACAAAGTCTTGAACTTCACGTTGGGCTATGTAGGAGTATTCTCAGTCTGGCCCCAAGCCCACACACCCTGGCTGCTTGAGCCCCTGAGTTTTAAGGTCCTGATGGTTTTCCCATTTACCATGACAGCTATTTTTATAAGAGACCCTCCTTAGGATACAGAGAGAGCTAAGGCTGAGAAGGCAGAAGAGGGTCAGGTGGAGGGGTCTTGAATTCCATGCTAAGGAACTAGCAGGGCACATTTCACAGCTTGTACTCCATCCCCCCATTTAAGTGAATAGATTGAGTCTCTATTCCTACAGCAACGTGTTCGCCTCAAACAAATCGTATGACCCATCGACCAACAATTTGTACGGGCCAGACACAACCCCCAAATGAAGGCCAGCCACGGGAGATAACTGCACTGGGTAAGGTCCCTCTGCTCTTGCGTGAGCCACCCCTTCACAGAACCTGCCCTTGTTCTCAGCTTCACACGCCTTCCTGCCCTTTCCTCCTCCTCAGAGAATTTTATGGTATTTATTTATCCCTGCCAGAGTAAACTGTGATCATTTAGAGAGGAAATGCTTTTGGCTTTTCTTTTTTAATAGTTGAAAAAGAGATGAACCTTATTAATTACTTGTTGATTAAGCCAGTATCCGTTACGTGTCTTCACGTAATATGAGGACAACTAAAAATTAAAAATAAGAGGCTCAGTTCTTCCTGTTGAAAATAAGGGAGGAGAGTCCCCTTGCCTCCTTTTTCCTAGAGCATTTACTTTAGGAAACATATAACTGTGAGCATCTTCTCCCCTCTTTGAAATGTGGGTATCTATCCTTTTGAAAGTGTGACAGGTTCTCCTGTCAACTTCAGGACCCAGGACTGTTGCTCTCCAGGACCAGGGAGCCATCGCTTCGAGTTGCAAACATCGAGGTGCCCCGGGCTCCTGTGGGAGGGCAGCAGACTACTTGGGCCGGAACCTGGCTCCAAATCGCACAACTACCTCTGATCATAAAGAGACGAGAAAATCGTTTCTCTTTTGGATGAAGCCAATCAGCTAATACAGATGGTGACCCCAGTGACAGTGGGAGATTTGGGATGAACTCAGTGTGACACATTCCCTTACTTGGGGACTAGTTATTACTTATCTTGAGAACATGTGCGTAAGGGCTTGTATCTAGTTATGTACAAGGGTCAGGTTTTTTGTGTCTTGACAATCTCTTAGCAGGTGGCCTGTGATGCACATCACGTTTAATGCCTATTTAATAATAAAAGGGTCCTCTTTCTCTACTGTCTCTGCTGTTGTGGAGAGGATTTTCTAGGTTGGAGATTTTGTTTTTCATTCTGTTTCCCCAACACTAGGCTTTGTGCTCAATTCTGTGAAGGTAAAAGTGTCTAAGATACTATCTCTGTACATTTTTATTATTGTTTAGTGACAGAATATAAGAAAAGTTGTGGGAAACCCAAGGATTAGACCAGTGAAGCTGAGTCTTAAAGGCTGGGAGGGTCTCCCAGGTAGACAAAGGTGGCGGTGGAAATCGGGGAGGGTTGTGGTTTGAAGCCAAAGGCACTGAGGGTCTGAGCATAGGGAGGATTCCTGGGGCCACAGCCAGGTAGAAGGGGGTGCAGAGAATATACAGAAACAGAAGGAAGTGAGAATGGTGGGGTTAGGGGAGGCCAACCTGTTCCCAGAACTTTCAGGAAAGTTCAGTTTAAGCTGATTGGAAGACTCAGGAAAGGATGCAGAGAAAAGACAGAAGAGGGGTAAACAGGGGGGGCCTCGAATTCCACACTGAAGAACTATAAAGAAAAATTACAAAAGACTTTATTTATTTCAATTTAAAATTTTTTAATTTATTTTCTTTTGTGGGGGGAGGTGATTAGGTCTATTTATTTATCTATTTATGTATTTATTTATTTAGAGGAGGTACTGGGGATTGAACCCAGGACCTTATGCATGCTAAGCATGCTGTCTACCACTTGAGCTATACCCTCCCCCACAAAAGACTTTAAATGGCAAAAACAAACAAACAAAAAACCCTTTACTGGGTGTCCTGTCTAGCACACCATTTGAGGCCATCTCTCCCTTTCATTGAGCTAATTTACAATCCTGTGAGGTGTAGGCAAACCAGCAGCGCGATCATTCTTGTTCACGGAAACAAATTGTGTCTGGTGGGGGTGCATCTGATAACTGATGTGGCTATGGACCGATTTTTCATTTATCTGTAAATTCATCTTGGCATTTCTGTGAATGTCTCACCTATACTATTTCTGTAGCTGTGGTCTGTCCACTGTCACTGCTGACTACCATTGCACTGTGTGAGTGTCCCATGATTATTAGCTATGCTCTGCTGATGCATCCCTGGGTGGCGGTGGGGCTTTCATTTGTGGCCACTGTGAGCAACACTGTCATGAACATTTTTGTGTGTGTGCATCTATATCTCCTACAACATGGATGCATTTAAAAAAATGCAAACCAAGAAAGCAGACCTACTATATGAATCCACGTACATGAAGGTCAGAAACAGGCAAAGATCATCCGTATTGTTTGGGGATGCCTTTCTGGATAGTAAAACTACAAAGACAAGGAAGGGAGCAAGGACCATGAAAGTCAGGATTGGGGTGACTTCTGGGAGGGCAGAGAGGTGGTCAGGAAGGGACCTGAGGGAGGCTGCCAGGGGCTGGCCCAGTTCACTCCTGCTGCCTAGGTGGTGGTTAAGTGGGAGATATTTATAATAAGCTGTCCACCTACACATTGCTCTTTGAGAGTGCTATGTTTTCCAGTGAACTCAGGTGTAAGGAAAAGGACAAAGAGTGCCTGGGAAGATCTCTAAAGAGATGTGATACAGGTTTTCTTCCCTACCAAGATTCATAATCCAAAATAGTTGCTTCGGCCAGACAAAAAGATGAGGTGGTTGAAGTGCCCACTGTGGCCTGAGAGCTGGGGGGATTCCAGCCTTCGGGGCGGTCAGAGAGTCCTGAGCCCCAGGGAAGGCAAGCAGCAGCAGGAGTCAGCTAGATGCCTTGCCCTCCCTTGGCTCTCCTGGGCAGAGTGACACAAGAGAGCTCAAGTCCTCGGAATCCCTGGACTGTGCTGCCAGGAATCAGAACAGGTTCCCAGAAAAGCTGGCAAAGACCTGGTGTCTGCCCTCTTGGCTCCGGCACCTCCTGACTCTGACCCGTCCCAGAAGCGCCCCTCCCTGTCTAGCCCGTCGGCTGCAGGTGCTGGCTCTGACCGTCTCCTTCGAGGGAGAAAGTCTGAGCCTGATTAAAACGGGTGTAGCTGAGGACTCCATTCCAGGCTGGGGAGGAGCAGTTGAATGTCCCAGATCCCAGGAAAGGGGTCCTTTGAGGCCAAGGGCTCTGTTGTGGGACCACAGGTGATACGGCTGTTCTTCCGCAGCCCGGCCAGGGTGGGAATGGGGAGGTGGGAGGTGGGGGATGGAAGTTGGTCCTGAATTGGGTCAGCTCTGGCATGTCCCTTCTTCTCCTGCCCCTCACAACCCCATTTGAAAGTGGTCAGTGATCTTAAGACGCATATGCTTCTGAGCCTCAGTTTCCCGTAATGACAGCACGCACTGTTTCCTGAGCACCAAATATGTGCTGACACTGTTTCCTGCCCTCCATCCCTTTGTGAAAATAAAGCCAAACCAAGAGGTGAAGGTGAAGGATGGGAACCCATCTGGGCGCCGCCCACTCCCACCAGTGGTCCAAGGCTCAGAGCCCAGGTGCCCTCCAGAAGCCCTGGCTCACAGGGAAGTCTTCACGCCTGCTTTTTCTCACAGTCCAGTCTTCTTCTTTCCTTTGCGTTCAAGTTTTTTCTACCTCAAGTTTTCTATCTCAAGTATTTGAAAAAGAAAAAGAACCTTTTTTCGGGGGAGAGAAATCCTAAAATTCCCCGCCGTTCTCTGGGCTGGGCTGTGAACACACAGAGCAGACACTGCAGAGTCCTGTGAGGGGGTGACGGCCAGATGCAGGTCAAGCAATGAGAAAGGACAGGTCTCAGCCAGATGTAGCCCCGGAGGTACTTCCCTCCATCTTGCACCCACGTGTCTGTCGTCCACTCATAATTTCTGTCTGAAAATTGTGTTTTCCAATGACACAAACCTTCTGACCCGAACGTCCTCACAATGACTATATAACAGCATTATTAATGTTGAATATAAAGTTACGTCAGCAATTTGTTATTAAAATAATTTTCATTATAGGGCAGAGGGTATAGCTCAGTGGTAGAGTGTGTGCTTAGCATGCACGAGGTCCTGGGTTCAATCTCTAGTACCTCCATAAAATAAATAAATAAATAAACCTAATTACTACCCCCCCCAATAAAAAACATTTTTAAAAAAGAGAAAAATTTTTTTCATTATAAATGGAATAGATGCTCATTATAAAAAAAAGCACAAGAAAGCATGGAAGAAAAATGAAAAAAAACCCTCAAAACTATCTTCAATCAACTTCCCAGAATCAACCACAGCGAGCTTTTAGCTTTTTCCACCCAATCTTTATGCATATCTTTATATTCTGATTGAGTATATTTATATTAAAATTGCAAACATTATTTTAATAACTTTCATTATACAATTTCCAAACCTACACAAAAGCAGAGACCCCCATGCACCCACCCTCAAGCTTCAACACTTAGCAACTCATGACCCGCATTTCGTCTACTCCCCACTGCATGCCCTGTTGGATTGTTTAAAACTAAATCCAGATGTCATAATGTTTCACCCATAAATAGTTTAAATGTGTCTCTAAAAGAATAAGAAAGACAAAAATAAAATTATTTTAAAAAAATAACAGTAAGTTCATTACTATTTCTCATCTTAAGAAGTTAACAATAATTCCTCAGTATCATCCAGATGCAATTTTAAACGATGCTTGTTTTAGTTAATATCAAATCGTGAGCATTTCTCCCTGTCCCTGAAATGTAATTGCTAACGTTTCTAATCATATTCTGTCATGTCAAGCGTATCACCATACATGATCTTATCACTCACTGCTGCCCCCTACAAGCCCCTTGGACTTTTAGGGTGTAACATCCCCAGGACAATCATCTCCCTTGATGGCATGTAAAACAAGCCAGCATCACTAACTCACTTTGACATCTGATCACAGGGCCCCACCCAGCACACCCACAGGTGCCAGCTCAGTCCTCTGCTCCTACCTGGCAGGACCTGGGAAGGGGACCTCAGGAGGTGCCAGTCAGCTGCCCTGTCCCTCGCAGACTCTGCCAGGGAGTATTTCCCTTTCCCTTCCTCCAAGAGCATCTTTATTTGCAAAGTTAGCCAATAGTATCTGGTTTCCTGTGAGGTAGACTGTCTGTAGATGCTGCCGCAGCCAAGCTCAGAAGCTCCAGGCTGGAGGCCAGCTGACAACAGGAGGGTCTGAAGTCACAGACCTGGAAGACCCGAGCTGGGGGGCAGAGCAAGAGGGGCTTGGGGGGAGTGGTAATTTGAGGGCTGTGTTATCTCCCCTGATGTGGGTAGAGGACAGGGAACAATGCAGCTCTCATTAATGGTGTCTTCAGGCAAGCCCAGAAATTGAGCCTTAGTCTTCCTGCCCATAAAAGGGAGCCAGTAACACTCACTGGATAGCATTGAGCTGCAGAATAAATGACCTACAGCTCTTCTCCTCCAAGTGCGGTCTCAGCTGGGAGCTTATTAGAAATGCAACACCTCGGGCCCTGCCCTAGACCCCGTGAGTTAGACTGCATTTTAATGAAACTCTTAGGAGATTAGTAAACACATGGAGTCTGAGAAGTATTGGCACAGAAAACTTCTAGTGAATGCTTGGTCCCCTGGTAGTTGCTTAATAATTACGTTTCCCCTCCCGTCCCTCCTTCATGGCATTTGGTGGTTCCCTATACCCTGCAGTCAAGCCTCAGTTACGTCTCCGATGGAGACTGGCTTCACCCACGAAGTGGCCCAGGCTGCTCCCTGGGATGTGGCGCCCAGCTGGGTCCTGACATCCAGCTCCTGATCCCTGCCCCAGCCTGTGTTCTCTGACTGCAACTCGAATCTCAAACCACAGCCGCACTGCCTTCTTACCACTTCTTTACCTGCCCGAGTCACGTTCAAGGTGAGGATTCCTTCTGGTCCGTCCTTATCCCAGGGCCTGGCCAGGGTCTGTGACTGGTGGGCCCTCAGTACACGTGTTTATTGAGTGGTCAGTGACTCCCCCAAGGCCTTTCCTGGCTCCCCACTGCCCTTCTTGTGGCCTGTGCCCAGTGCGCCCCTGGCTCTAGTCGCTGTGGTCCTGAGAGGGTGCCCACTGTGTGCTCCCTCCTCACCTCCTCCTCATGTCCGACGCAGACCTGCTGCACTGGCCAGGACGAGCTGCGGGTGGGACTGCAGAGCCGCAGGCTGGGTGACCTGCTGGCGTTTGAGGATGTCCACTGCCCGGTTTCCATACTTGGTCTCCCCCGGCCTCCGAGTCGGGCCACCTTTCCCTGCCTTTGGCCAGGCTAAAATTTGCGCTAAAAATAATCCAAAGACTGGTACTAGACCTGCCCCCACCCCAACAATGGGAACTCAAAATGGAAGAGCCTGCCTCACTGAGGATTAGCAGACCCACTTTACTCAAAAGCCTACGGGAAACTTCTGATGCTTGTTAGTGTTAGTGGACACCGTTTCAGGATGGGTGGAAGCATAACCCATCCCGACAGAAAAAAGCCTCTGACGTAGTTACAGCCTTCCTTAAGGAAACTGTTCCCCCAGCTGGATTGCCTAACGCCCTTCAAAGTTGGGCCTGCTTCTGTCTCCTGTGTAACCCGGCTGGTGTCCAAAGCATTGCGTGTTGACTGGTGACTGCGTTCACCCTGGAGACCACAATCAACAAGAAAAACTGAGACAATGAATCACATACTGAAAAAGAGCATTTGGGGTTTTTTGTTTTTAACTTTTGTTGTTTAATTGAAGTATAGTCAGTTCACAATGTTGTGTCAGTTTCTGGTGTACAGCATAATAGTTCTGTCATACATATACATACATATATTCATTTTCATGAATTCATTTTCACTTCACTGTAAGATATTGCATATAGTTCCCTGTGCTCTACAGTAGAACTTCTGTCTTACATATAGAAGTTAGTATGTGCAAATCTCAAACTCCCAATTTATCCCTTCCCACCTCCTTCCCCCGCTGGTAACCATAAGTTTGTTTTCTATGTCTGTGAGTCTGATTCTGTTTTGTAAATAAGTTCATTTGTGTCATTTTTTTAGATCCCACATGTAAGTGATACCACGTGGTATTTTTCTTTCAAAAGAGTGTTGTTAAAATATGTTAGTAGACTAATTTAACTTGGGTTAAGGCCTTGCCAGTTGCCCTGAGATAGATCAGCGTGGCTCCCAGAAGCAGTCTTAAATGAGGCCCTCCTGAAGTGTTGTTTGGTAGGTCATTCCACCTGTCTGCCCAAGCAGGAGAGTCTGTAGATGTCTTAAAGGACCTAGCAGTTGCCAACTATGTTAAGACTTTAGGGACTCTCCGAGCTTCTGTTCATGAGTTTGCTTCCAATAGGTCCACCTCCCCCTGAGGTGGTCCTGCACCCCTACCAGCCTGGGGATCAAGTCCTTCTCAAAACCTGGCAAGAATAAGGACCCTGGCATTAACTTGCAGCTAAGGGACAGGACTTTAGGAAGTACTGCTGAACACCCTCTGATAAATTAGCCCAGAGACGATCGTGGGTTTACCATACCTGAGTGAAGCTCACTCCTCCAGAAAGGGGATGGGATGAGGAAAATCTGACTTGATCTTGTGAGCCATGAGAGGATCTTAAGTTGCTGTTTTGAGCCCAGCCTCCTACCAGATAAGGAATGATGCCTTTTGCTCTTCTCTTGTGTTTCACTACTGGTGACAGCCACTGGTTGGAAAGGAAGTGCTTTAAGCAGGTGATCTCAGAGTGTGGTCAAAGGGGAAATAACCCCACTTTCAGGAGACAGAGATAGCACAGAGCAGAGCGTCTGGGCATCCTCATCCAAAATGCTGGAGTTCATGAGTGCGTTCAGGTGCTTGTCTGAGCGCCGCAACAGGGTCATAAAAGAGGGATGTGTCCTCATAATGCAAACTGTTCATGCCCAGCCTGGGACTCAGCAGTACTTCCAGTCCCAAGTTGATAAGTTGCACTCCACCCCATCACCGCCCCTCCATCGCCCTTGTTCAGCAGGAATTAGCTGGAGGGTCCGTTTTCCCACAAGACTGTAGGATGGACTTTGGCAGTGGGGAACTGTAACAGAGAAGAACAGGCCTGACTTGGTGTCAGATCCGTTCCTTTATCTCTCATCTTTGTGCTCGGCTGCCTGTGCTTAGTCAATTATACTCAGTAAAGCTGGAAATAGAGAAATACTGGGAAAAAAATTTTAAAAAGAAACTGTCATTCTCCTCTAGGAGTCTCATTTGGGTTGAATTATTTCTTAATCTCAGTAGGATGAAGCAGAAGTCCTACAGGCTCACTGCAAACTAAAGCAAAAGAGCTCTAATATTCCAAAACAAGTCATCGCTTGCACACTAACGCTTAAGCCGTTTCTGTAGCAGCCACCATGCAGCGCTGCACGCTTGTATGTATAATGGGCCTCATCAGCCTGACTCATTGTTCGCTCTGTCACCCACCAGGTGTTTAGTAAAGCACCTACTGCATGCCATTGCCCTGTGCATGGGGCTAGTTACTTGTGACATAAAAATGAACGGGGCAGGGTCTCTACCATGTTCCTCCACAGTCTTGGTCCCAATTTGGCTTCTACACTTCAAGATTGCAAAACCAGACAGCTCAGGGAACACTGAGCAATAAGCAGTTATCAGAAGGAAGGGGGAGCGGTCTGTGTTGCCTCAGTCCGCCAAGCACTGTCTTGGTAGATGGTCATTTTGTTGTTGTGGAGTGGCTGTGTCTGAGCATCTCTGATGTTCAGGTAGGAACTTCCCTGTCAGGCAGCCAGCAGGGGAGTTTGTCCTCTTTTCCTGTCTTAGGCAATCCCATAATGGGGACAGTGGAAAGGACGGCCATGATGTACATGGGCAGGCAGCTCAGGGCACAGTTTACAAAGCTCTCCCACAGGTGCTGGCTCCCTTTTAGGGCAGGAAACAGAGGCCCAAGGAAGTTAGAGAAGTAACTCCAAGGCTACTCAGCTGGAAGGTTGAGGGGGCGAGCAGGAAGTTCACCTCAGGTCAGAAATTTACATACATGCAGTGTCTAGCTGTTTGCTGACCCCAAAGCAGATGCCTCTGGGCAGACTCAGGGTGGACAAACATCACCTCTTCCTGAAAGGCTTTCGTCCAGGCCCTGGGAAAGCAGCAGACAAGGGGAAACTGGGGAAAGGCCAGGGTTGGTGGTGGTGGTGAACCATTTTCTAAACGGAGGCCTTAGGGCTCCCTCTTGTGGTTGTGAGATGAACTGCTGGCCCCGACCTGGCTGAGGCAGGTGTGGGCGGCAAGGTCCCCTCCGCTGCCCTGAGTCGGGCAGGCCCTGTGCCAAGCACACCACTGTCCGGGGTTCATTTGACACTCAACCCGTTGACCTGCAAACTTGGTGTTCTCAGCTCTTCTTGTTCTCAGCTCAGCTCTTGTTTGGTAGGTCATTCCACCTGTCTGCCCGAGCAGGAGAGTCAAAACAGAGCTGAAGTCAGAAAAGAGTGCTGAAACTGGGCTTTCCAGCCTTGCCTCATCCAGGGTTGGAGCTACAGGTATCACACAGACTCCCTTTCCCAACTCTGAATTTGTAAAGGCTGTTTAAAGTCAGACCCTCAGTTAGGCTGTGGAACTGATGGGTCCTGTTTGAACTTGATAAAGGACATCCCAGTTTTACAGGGTGCTTTCACATTCATCGTTTCTCATAGGCCTCACAGAACCCTATAAAGCGGGTTCATTAAGCATGATTATCCCCACTTTACACCCAAGGAAACAGGGGAGCAGGGATAATAACAGGTAAGACATGACAGTAATCATCCTAGTTATTAATGTTTATCATGTGCCAAGCTCTGTGCTAGGCGCTTTGCAATTGTTACCTTGTTTAATGCTCAAACTGATGTGGTTCCCATTTTACAGATGAGGATGCAAAGCCACGGAAAAATGCCCAGTCCAAAAACTGGAGCTGCAGCCTGACTTTGGAGTCAAGCTCTTACCTGCCTCTTACACTGTACTGACATGTGAACGCAGGTCAGATAAAAGACAGGCAGGAACAGATTCTGTCTTCTCTGATGCCCTGGGCAGTGTTCTTTCTGCCACATCACACTGGCTCTGATGTCCTGGTTCAGCACCTGCAGGTAATAATACAGGAGGAAGCTTAAAAAAAAAAAAAAGACCAGTTTCACCCAATTCTTTGGGGAGAGAGAAAATGCTGGGAGGATAAATGAGGGCCAACTCAGGGCCCCCGGGAGGGGTGTTTGATGGGTGCCCTGCAAGAGGGAAATGAAGTCTAGGCTGTGCTGCAGGCCAGTTCCTCACCAGTGAACCTGGCTGCATCTCTCTGGAGTAGGGAGCGCCTTGTAATTCCATACAGGTTGCTGTAAGTGCTGGCTGCCTCCCTGAGTCTTCTTCTAAAGCTTCTCTGGCAGGTGACAGGAGCCTGTGCTGGTGGGCCTGTCTTTCCTGTGATTTAGATACTGCCATGTCTAGAGCCGCACCATCCGATGCAGTGTCCACGGGCCGCAAGGAGCTCAGGGCCCAGGAAGTCTGGTTAGTGTCAATTGCCAGTGGGGTGTAGATAGAAACTACCAGCTTTTGAAAGACTTAGCATGAAAAAAAGAACGTACCATATCTCATGCCTAATTTTCGTGTTAATTACTTTTGAAATGATAATATTTTAGAAGTATTGGGTTTAATATGATATTTTATTAACATTAATTTTACCTGCTTCTCTTTACTTTTAAAATCATGACTGGAAGATTGTGTGGGTGGCTACTGCTATTGGACGCTATTGGATAGCACTGATCTAAAGCTTCTGGTCCTGGTGAATTTGCTTATGACAGATATTGGAAGCCAGACACCCCTCAGAGCTGTCCCACTCTCTGGGAGGTGTTAGATGCAGCCATTGGTGAAGTGGGGGTCGGGGAGAGGTGATCTGAAGGCTTTGTGTCTCTGCCAAGTAGGCAAACTGACAAGTCCCTGCAGCCTGGTGACAGGGGAGCAGGGGAAATTCTTGTTTTATACGTGAACTACCCTTCTTACCTCGGCAGTATCCGTGGTTTAAACTCATGTTACACAGGGGAGGGTATAGCTCAGTGGTAGAGTGTGTGCTTAGCACGCATGAGGTCCTGGGTTCAATCCCCAGTACCTCTGTTAAAATGAGTAAATAAATAAGCCTAATTATTCTACACACCTCCCCCCCCAAAAAAAACAAAAAAGAAAGAATACGTAAAAAAATATATATATATATGTATATATATAAAAATAAATTTATGTTACACTGCATTCCAGCCACTATGAACTCACTTCAGTTCCTAAGACTCTTGAGTCTTTTTCTAGTCTTGGCCCTTCCCCCAACCCCCACCTCTCCCTCTTCCGTTGTCTCTTCAGATGGCGACTGGGTCCTGTGCAGAGGCCTCCCTGACCCACTCAGCTTTATTAGGCCCCCAACCCTGTCCCTTCTCTCAGTCCATTATTTCCTCTTCACAGGACCCATCACATGTCACCACCACCCTCTTGGGTGTGGAGTGTGTCTGATGTCTGTCTGTCTATTAAAAGGAGCCTCATGAGGCCCGGGGCTGTGTCCGTCCACTGCTGTGTCCTGGTGCCAACACGGTCCCCTCAGTGAGGATCTGTCACCGACTGCCCACACAATTAAGGGAGAAGTGGCCATTTGCCTCACATCCGCCCTGTGCTGGGCCCTTTGTGATATTGTCATCACTTCCCAGGGCAGCCCCCCGCCACCGATGGAGCCCCCTCACCCTCACGCTGTGGAGGACAACCCCAGCTCGGAGGGGACGGCCATTGCCCAAGGTCACCACATGGTAAGTGCCTGACAGGCACTGGAAGCTCGATCTGGCGGGTTCCCACACCCTGGGCTTCGGCCTCACCGAGCGCCCCCCTCCCCACCGCACTTCCAGCGCCCATCTCAGCCGGGCTGTGGCCATCCAGTCAAGCCCAGCTCTGCCCCATCCTTTGGGGGCTCCCATGCTTCTTGGGAAGCAGTAGCCAAGCGCTAAAATCTGTGTTTGTGCTTGTCCTGGGGCTCCCACAGTAGGGCGGGGGCCAGACAGCTGGTGGGTGCAGGCACTGAGTGCAGGGGTCGGGGGCACTCCTCAAGCCTGGGGCTCCTTCCAACCTGGTGGACGAGTGAGAGCAGTTCTGCTCAGAAGGGTCCAGAAGCCTGGCAAGGCCGGGGACTCGGGAAGCAGGAGCCCCTCCCTCCTCTCCAGGCCCAGACCTGGGGGCCCATGTTGTTCCGAAGCGCCCACCTCACCTCGCCCTATCTCCCCTATCTCCAGGGGAAGGAAGCAGGTGCAGAGACAGACAGACAGACAGACAGACAGGCTGGCAGGAAATAAGTTTGACAGGCAGGAACATGAATGAGGGAACCCGGGGCTTCAGGAGAGAAGATGACTTGAAAGGACATCCGTAAGAGAAGGCTGAGGGGGTGCCCTGAGGGAAGGTTCTGGAAACAATTAATTCACCAAGCGCCCTCCCACCCCTGCTGTCAGCTGGGAGCCTTTGCAGGCAGGCCTGAATTCATGCACGTCTTTTAACCACAAGTCCTGCTTGGCTAGGCTTCTTCCTGGCACGGAAACACTCAGACACCACAGGAACATGGTCAGGTTTGCCACAGACAAGGAAAATGGTGAAGCTTCAGAGTAAACAGGGAATCTGCTGAGGATGGAGGGAGGGGGAAGATGGGGTAGGAGAGGAGGGACACAGACGTTGAAAGGTCTGGTGGGGAGGAGAAGCTTGAGGTTGTGCGGTCCACCAGCCGGCTCTCCGGGGCCCTTGGAACATCCAGGGTCCACTCCTGTTCACAGCAAGGGGCAAGGCAGCCAGACACAGGAGCCAAGACTCGCCCCTGTCCTGTCTGGAGTTTTTGCTGGAGGCCCCCATGGAAAAGCTGCTTGAACCACTTTGAAAGCACCTCGAATTCAGTTGTGCACCTGGGACCCCCATCCCAAAGATGGGTGACCAGGCCCCGGAAGGATACCCACTCCAGTGACACCTGGGCTGGAGGAACAGTCAGGAAGGCCCTCAGAAAGGCAGGCAGCTGCACACAGAAGATTCATGAAACTGCTCATTCCTATGTCTCTATTCACACCTGCTTTTTCTCTGACCCTCCATTGCCAGGTGGCCGATTCTGAGCAATAGGTGTGCAGCACACAGGCTAATGCTGGGTCTCACCCATGATGGCACTTGGAGCCTCACGCTGACCAGAGGGCACACACTGCGCTTTCTCTGCGGGGTGAGTTGGAGCCACAGGTCAGTTGACTGACTGTGGCCATGGGCAGCCATTTCAAAACTGCTTTCGAGTCTTTCCTTCAGCCCTCCCTCCAGCTGTGTGTGAGAAGCAGCGCTGGCTGGCTGGAGGGCTGAGCCCACGCGTGCCTGCTCGGTTCCCACCCTGCACAATGGGAAGGCAGGGCCACGTCCTCCAAGGATGCACTTGCCTGCTCTTTGCCTGACGACCCAGTTCTAGCAGATTTATCAGAATCTCTTGTAAATGCACTACAAGGAGCCCTGAGCTGGGGCGGAGGGGTGCAGAACTTTGAATCCCAGAGACTCAGTCTGGAGGCTTCCCAGAGACACACCTCTGTCAAATCCTGGGAGCGGTGAAAGACAGTGGGCCGAGGAAAAGAAAGAGGAAGAGAGAAAAAAATAAAGGAGAAGGAAGGAGAATTTCTAGGTAATATAAGCAGTGAGAAAATGTAGAGGCATCCTCCTGGTACAGAACAGCTAAGGTGCTGGATAATTATTTTAAAACACCTTTTTAAGAAAATGACTGATGCAAATCCAGAAAGGTGAGGGAGGCCGAGCCTACATCACCTGGGGCACGCCGTGGCCCCTCTGGCTGGAAGCCTGGTGCCCCTGCAGTGAAGAAGATGGAGACTAGGTCTTGGGTGGGAAGGGCGGGAGCTTTGTCTGAAGCAGACACAAAGCCAGATTCCCCGAAAGGCAGCCCCCTCAATGCCTGTCTTAGCTCCTTGCCCAGAAAGCAGAGGCTGAGGCAAAGCCTGTGCAGTAATGCCGTGCTGGGATGTGAAATTCAAGGGAACAAAGTGAAGGAAAAAGGGAAGTGAGGCTGGGAAAGGAAAAACAATACAAGATGGTTTATTCCTGAGCTGGCCACAGTTACATGAGAGGGTACGGCTGGTCACCTGGTCACGCGGGACCTCTGCTGAAGACCCGGGGGACCGCTGCCTCCTGGAGCAGTCAGGGACAGAGAGCAAGCCATTTAGTCCCCAGCTCTTTCTCTTCTCCTGTGTCTCTTTGGTCAACATCTCCCCTGTGGGGCACTCACCTTCCTGTATTTCTGGGTTGTGGGACCTGAATTCTCTGGGCAGCTGCTGGGAAAGCTGGAGTCTCCGTGGATGCAGGCAGATCAGACCTAGAACCAGAGCCGTCGCGTCTCCCGATGCTGTGGGGATGACGAGGGATGCCCTATGGCCTTCCCCTCGTCCCTTGGGAGGCTGAGACATCAGCAGGACTAGGAACTGGGGCTCGGAGGTGGAGGCCTAGGTTTTTCAATGGTGGACACTGCATGTGTCCCCGCTGGGGCAGTCTGGCCGGGAAGCAGCCAATGTTCAGAAGGCCGGCTGTGCTGAGCAGTCCAGGGAAGGCAAGGAAGCTGGGCCCAGTGTGGAATCTCTATGGAAACAGATGGTTTATTTGTAAAGGGCTATTTACAAATGAACAGACAAGTAGAGGTACCCGGAGTGGGTGACCAGGTCATGCACAGTTCTCTGACCGGTTGATGGTGAGGTAACAGGGCGGTGTCAGGGATGGGCGGGTTGAGGCAGGGGAATGTAAACGTTATCAGTCAGGCTCCAGTAGGTCTGGGGGCTACATCAAGCAGTTAACCTCTTCCATTTGGTGTGAGTTTTAGCATCTGTAAAACAACTCAGGAAATGTGCATCGGATAGTGTTATTTAGGTACTTCAGAGAGGAGCTAAAGCAGAGGACCTGGGGCAAGGGGTCTGTCCTGGGAAGGACCCATGGGGTCTCGGCTGCAGACAGAATATAGTTTAAAAAAGCGGAATCTTCTCCCAACCCAGAAAACCACTCCACAAAGGTAGCAGAGGAAGAAAACAGTTTTATTATTGAATAAACTATATTAAACCAGAATATGATTGCATCACAGGCAATCCACTAAGAGACTGCAAAGAAGGAAAGCAATCCCACCCTTTACATAGCCAAGCGGTATAGCCCCTTACATACACGTTCTCAAGGTGAACAATAACTAGTCCTCTAGTAAGAGGGCTCAGTAGCACCTTGTATCACACGTAGTTCATTGCAAATTTCCCAGAGTAACTGGGGAGACCCCTTGTGTTGGTTTTATCCAGAGGAGAAACAAACTTCTCATTGCAAATTGGAATAAGGGACCACCAAATTAGGAGGTTCTTATCCTCCTGACAGAAACTGGGAGACAGTTTGCATTTCAGAAAGATGGCTGAAATCAGAAAGATCGTCCCCAGGTCCTTGAGGAAGTAATCTTCAGTTGTGAGACTGATCATTATAAAGACTTACATACATTTGAAAAGGACAAAGAAATTCTGAAACAAAAGGGAGAAAGGAGGAAAGTCTCTTCCCTTACTTGCAACCAGGAGAATTAACCCTCTATTTTTGTTTTGCATTTGATCTTACACCATCCAGTGTATTTTTTGTGGCTACTTTTCCCCTCAAAGTTGACAACACACTGTATACAGACTTGTAAGTCCTAGGAATTTTTAAATGTCATTGAAAATTTCCTCATTAGTGCCATTTTAATGCATAATAGCTAATTGATAGGAACATTTGAAAATGTAGGCATGTAGAAGACCAAGCAAATAAATAAAAGCAAGATAGCCAATAAAGGAAAAACCAAAACATAGTTCAAGAAAAGAAATGTAACAATGCTTTTTTTTTTGGAAGTGTGGTCAGTTTGCAATATTGTGTCAGTTTCTGGTGTACAGCACGTTTCAGGTGTACATATAAACACATATGTTCCTTTTTATAGCCGTTTCATTATAGGTTACTGCAAGATATTGAGTATAGTTCCCTCTGCTCTACAGAAGAAACTTGTATATCTACTTTATATATAGTAGTTAGTATCTGCCAGTCTTGAACTCCCAATTTATCCCTTCCCACTCCATTTGCCCCCAGTAAACAACACTTTTTATGTTGTAATTATGACATAATTATATGTTATGGGAGGTTAAAGGAGGGGGGAAGGGGAAGAGAACTAAGTCCTCAACCATCCCAACAATGAATCAGTAGAAAGTAGAAGTTGTGAATTGAGAAATAGTAGGATGAGCCTACTATTTAGACATTTGGATGGTAAATACCAGAGGGGAAAAACAACCAGAAGTATTCTGGCTGATCTTTTCTGGAATGTGGGACTAGCACAGGGGTTCGGGACAGGGGATAGCTATGTTTTGCTATAATCTTTGAGCACTGTTTAATTTTTTGGCTTATATTACTGCGCTAAAAATAAAAACTAATTACAATTTAAAAATCCCCTGCCTACCGCTTCTCCCCTCTACCTCAGAAAAAGTATATGAACTAACCTTTATGTATTTCATAGGTCAGATAGCTATTTTTATTTCTGTTCTGATGTTTATCTGGAAATAAAACTGCTTTGACGTTCTCAGTGAACCCTCTGACTCATACCTAGACAGGTATTAGCGTTTATGACCTCAGATTTCTAGCCCTCTCCTGCGCACATGATGGACTTTGTAGCCCTCCCCTCCCTTCTTTGAATTTCCCATCTCCTGGCAGTTATCGGGGGCTGGAGAGAATGCCTGTTCCACCTCAGACAGTGGGCAGTGTTTTGGGAAGAGGGTTGAGATATGACTTCGCTGTAAAAGAGTTGGCTAGGGTCAGGGTTCTAATCTGCAGCAGGTTCCCTAGAGAATGGTCCTCGGCTTGAGCTGATCTCGCCATTGATTAGAGCTGTGACCTCCCACAAGTTACTTAGCGGATTTAAGCTTCTGCTTCCTCCTTAACAAAATAGAAATAACATTAGTAACCCGTCCTTCTTAGAGTCTGGTGGGGACAGTGTGTGTGACCGTGCATGTAGTGTACGGCTTTATAGTGGTCTATGAATTAGCTATGATCCGTATTATTTACAAGAACAATGTTGAGCCTTTGCAAATCATGCAGTTAGTATGAAATGGTACTGACTCTGTGTGTGTGTGTGTGTGTGTGTGGTGTGTTTAATTTCCCTTGAGATTTTCTCTTTGACCCATGGGTTATTTAGAGGTGTGTTGTTTACTTTCCAGGTGTTTGGAAATTTTTCTTTTTCTGCTATGAATTTCTAGTTAGGTTTCATTATGGTCAGAGAATACATTCTGTATTATTTAAATTCTTTTAAACTTGTCAAGGTTTACTGTATGGCCCAGGATATGGTCTCTATTAGTATTTGATCTTTGAACACTTCAAAAGAATGTGTTTTCTGCCGTTGGCGGGTGCTCTATAAATGCCAATTAGATCCTGTTAGTTAATGGTGGGGTTGATTTCTCCTCTATCCTGATTTCCTGTCTAGTTGTGTATCTATCATGGAGGGAGGGCTGTTAAAAGTCCACAATTATAATTGGCTTTTTAAAATGTTTTTTCCCCTTCACGGAGGCACTGGGGATTGAACCCAGGACCTCATGCATGCCAAGCATACACTTTACCACTGAGA